AAAAACTAAACCTTACCCTAATCATCGCAATCATCCTAAAAATCCAGAAGGCAGAGCCAAATCATAAAAATCAGATTCAATTCTGATTCAAACCGCATTTTGACAAAAGGGAAAAATGGCATATAATTACAACAATGGCCAAATCAATAATAGAGTACCGTTTAATCATCCCGCTCAACAACAACAACAACAATACCCACAAGCACGCGCACCACCGTCACCTGGACCAGTAGCACCACAACCCATTTACACTAACAATATTGCTCAAGGTTATTCCAATGGTAATCATGACTATAATAATTACAATAATAATAGCCAAAGGATTAACACACCAACCACTCCGCAAGCTCAACAATATCTAATGTCACCGACCACCACATTATCACCAATAACACCTGCTACCAATCGCAATCCATACGATTATTCTTCACCATCACGTGAGTACCCACAACCTTCATATAATCACAATGAGGGAAATGATACGTATCCACCGCGTGGCGTAGCTCTTCATTCGCCAACTCGCGATAGTTATCCATTAGACGATCTAAATGATTATTATGATGATAGTGATGTTGATGATGGGTATAATCGAGGACATCAAGGAGCTAATAGAGCAGAACAGGATGCTTTTTATAATAGTAATCGATACGATGATCTGACGTATCCGCCTAATGCGTATCCAACCAGCTCTGACACGAATTCTGATGTAAATCATGGTATGCTGTTAATATTAATATATATATATCAATAATGTTAAATCTTTTTGGCGATCGACAATTAATTTTATATTTGCATTTTATTTCTAGGTGTAATGATAGATCCACCATTAACATCTTATTATAGTGGCGGGAATAACAATAGTAATCAAGCACGATCAATAGGTGATGTAAAAGGAAAAGGTCGAAATGTTATAGACGCTGAATCAGAAACAGAAAGTTATAGTGATTACACAGCAAACCATCGTGATTCCAGTGAATTAGATATACCCGGAGTAAACATTCGTAGAATGGATGATTCCAGCCGATATTCATACTCATTCCACGTAACATCATCTCAAGATTCATTGATACATGGGATAGACACCAATCAGAAAAAACCTAGTTACTATCCACCATCACAATATTCCTATAACGGTGAAAACTCATCATCAGGCTCTGGAAGAAACACGCCACAATACGGTCTCGAATTCCCGCATTTGCCACAGGGTAATCAACGTTCAAAAGAACCTTACCCCGCATGGCGATCCGATGATCATCAAATCCCATGCTCGAAAGAAGAGATTGAAGATATTTTCCTTGAGCTAACGAATAAATTCGGATTTCAGAAGGATAACATGCGAAATATGTATGACCATCTTATGATCATGTTGGACTCACGTGCGTCGAGGATGTCGCCCGCGCAGGCTCTTTTGACATTACATGCCGATTACATTGGGGGAGAGAATGCAAATTATCGAAAATGGTATTTTGCGTCGCAGATGGACGTTGATGATGCTCTTCACAGTTCGACAAGAGGCATGTCACAGATACGCAAACAAAATCTTGATGATGTACGAGTAGGCGAAGAGGAGTGGAAAGAAAAAATGAATTCAATGTCACAGTATGACCGAGTTAGACAATTGGCTTTATATTTATTATTGTGGGGCGAAGCTGCTCAAGTAAGATTCACAGCAGAAGTCCTATGCTTCATATTTAAATTGGCCGATGACTATTATCGAAGTCCTGATTGTAAAGCAAAAGTGCAACCACTACCCGAAGGAGAATATCTTCGAAATGTTATCACGCCATTGTATCGCTTCATTCGAGAACAAGGATACGAAGTTATTGGCGGGAAATTCGTGAAACGAGAAAAAGATCACGCAGACACTATCGGTTATGATGATATTAATCAACTATTTTGGTACCCAGAGTCAATTGATCGTATCATGTTACAAGACCGTAAAACTCGTCTGATGGCTTTGCCTCCAAGTCAACGGTATCTTAATCTTGGATACGTTGATTGGAATAGGGCGTTTGAGAAAACATATAAAGAAAAACGTACATGGTTACATTTGGCTGTTAATTTCACGCGTATATGGATTATTCATGTGGTCTCTTTTTGGTATTATACTGCTTATGCGGCACCATTTTTGTATATGGATGAGAAAAATTTACAGCCGGCTGTTCGATGGTCGGTTGTTGCTTTGGGTGGGGCGTTGGCGACATTATTTATGATTTTTGGATGTATATGCGAATTTCTCTTTATTCCATTCAAAGGAACAATTGTCTCAGGATTAATGAAAAGACTCGTCATGTTGTTCATTATTTTGATAATTAACGCAGCACCAACTTATTATATTGTTAAAATCTCAAAGAAAGATTCAACAGCACTAATAATTAGTCTAGGCCAACTCGGCATTTCCGTTATAACCACATTGACCTTTTCCATAATACCCAGCGCCAAACTATTCGGTGGTCCATCATCAACAGACAGATCAAGTCTTCCACGTCAAACATTCACAGCTAGTTATCCACCACTTTCGAGCAAGGATCGTGCAGTATCAATAGCCCTCTGGACTTGTGTATTCGGATGCAAACTGATCGAATCCTATTTCTTTTTATCCTTATCGTTCAAAGATCCCTTAAAAGCTATGCACGGAATGAGAGTTCTAAATTGCGGTGACCCGATCGCCGGCAACATGCTTTGTTCTTACATGCCTATGATGGCTATCGTGATAATGTTCTTCATGGACTTGGTGCTGTTCTTTTTAGACACATACCTTTGGTATGTTATCTGGAATACGATTTTCTCGGTGATTCATGCTTTTCAACTTGGAATGTCGATTTGGACCCCATGGAAATATATCTTCTCAATGCTCCCGAAACGTATTTACGCTAAAGTGTTGGCGACTAACGATACGGATGATAAGTATAAACCTAAAAACTTTGTATCTCAAATTTGGAATGCTATTGTCATCTCGATGTACCGCGAGCATTTATTATCAATTGACAATGTACAAAAATTGCTGTACCAACAGGTATATTGTATTTTCATCACCTAAATTTGGATATTCTCAACCGTATTATTTTCTTAGTGGTATTGTTAACAAACTTGATTTTTTTCTCCTAACTTTAAAAACTTTGCTAGGCGACAGAACCAGATGGAAAACGCACTCTTAAAGCGCCAGACTTCTTTACCTCATCAAGTTCTTCGAGCAGATATTTCCCACCTCTCAGTGAAGCGGAACGTCGTTTCTCTTTCTTTGCCCAAAGTTTAACTACTCCGATCCCAAAAGCACTTCCAATCCCCGAGATGCCCACGTTCACAGTCCTAACACCTCATTATTCAGAAAAAATTTTGCTTTCCTTACGTGAAATCATCCGAGAAGAGGACCGAAATACTCGCGTCACCCTATTAGAGTACCTCAAACAATTGCACCCAATAGAATGGGATAACTTCGTAAAAGACACAAAAATTGTTGCTGAAGAACTTAGTATGTACCCAACAGCGGCCGGATATGGCAAAGAATCTGAAAAAGAAATGAAAAACAAAAAACTGGATGACTTGCCCTTCTACTCGGTTGGTTTTAAATCATCTGATCCAGCGTTCACCCTTCGTACACGTATATGGGCTTCTTTACGTTCACAAACCCTGTATCGTACGATATCCGGGTTTATGAACTACTCGAAAGCCCTAAAATTATTATATCGAGTAGAGAATCCTGATATTGTCGCAAGTTATGCTTCAAACCCCGAGAGACTTGAACGAGAATTATCCTCAATGGCACGCAGAAAATTCAAATTTTTGGTAACAATGCAACGCTACAGTAAATTCAATAAGGAAGAACAAGAGAATGCGGATTTCTTGCTCCGTGCTTATCCTGACCTACAGATTGCCTACCTTGAAGAACAAAAACCAGAGAAAGAAGGCGAAGAGAATAAAATCTTTTCCGTGCTTATCGATGGTCATTGTGAAATTCTTCCGGACGGTTCAAGAAAACCAAAATATCGGGTACAGTTGCCAGGTAACCCGATTCTCGGTGATGGTAAATCCGATAATCAAAATCATGCGATCATCTTCTATCGTGGTGAATATCTACAATTAGTGGATGCTAATCAAGACAATTATCTCGAGGAATGTTTGAAAATTCGAAGTATGTTGGGTGAATTTGAGCAATTTGATTCGCCTACAACTTCACCTTATTCGCCAGCCGCCGTCCCTCAAAATAAAAATCCGGTGGCTATTGTTGGTGCTCGTGAATACATTTTCTCCGAAAATTATGGTGTGTTGGGTGATGTGGCTGCTGGTAAAGAACAAACTTTTGGTACTCTTACACAACGTATTATGGCCATGATTGGTGGTAAATTACATTATGGGCATCCGGATTTCTTGAATGCCATATTCATGACAACACGTGGTGGTAAGTAAAATATTTGATCAAATATAGGAAGAATACAAATTAGTTTGATTACTTAAATTATCTCATCTTTTTTTAGGTATATCAAAGGCTCAAAAAGGACTTCATCTTAACGAAGATATTTATGCTGGTATGAACGCTTTTTGTCGAGGTGGTCGTATAAAGCATACAGAATACTATCAGTGTGGTAAAGGTCGTGATCTTGGTTTCGGTTCAATTCTGCATTTCACCACCAAAATCGGTACCGGTATGGGCGAACAAATGTTGTCGCGTGAATACTACTATATTGGCACGCAGCTTCCATTAGACCGATTCTTGTCTTTCTATTATGCTCATCCGGGATTCCACATCAACAATATTTTCATCGCATTATCAGTGCAATTATTCATGGTTGGGATGTTATTTATAGGCGCTCTAGCATCCACACTTATTCTTTGCAACTACAATCCTGACCCTACCGCACCATTAACTCCCCCTGGTTGCTATAATCTTATACCTGTGTTCGACTGGATCAAACGCTCAATTATCTCAATCTTTATAGTGTTCTTTATCGCTTTCTTGCCACTTTTCTTGCAAGAATTAACGGAAAAAGGATTCATTCGTAGTCTTACACGTCTCGGAAAACATTTCATGTCTCTGTCACCCTTCTTTGAAGTATTTACAACTCAGATATATGCCAATGCTATCATGACCAATCTAAGTTTCGGCGGTGCTCGATATATTGCTACTGGTCGCGGATTTGCCACTGCTCGAATTCCATTTAATATTTTATATTCACGGTTTGCTGGACCAAGTATTTACTTTGGAATGCGAACTTTGATTATTCTACTTTTTGTCTCGATGACCATGTGGATACCTCATTTAACGTACTTTTGGGCCTCTGTCATTGCTCTCTGTATCTCGCCGTTCTTGTTCAACCCACACCAATTTTCATTTACTGAATTTATTATTGACTATCGAGAATTTTTGCGGTGGATGTCACGTGGTAACTCAAAAACACACGCAAACTCTTGGATCGCTTATTGTCGAGTATCTAGAACTATGACCACTGGATACAAACGTAAACGATTAGGACATCCCTCGGAAAAATTAGTCGGTGATGTGCCAAAACCAAGTTTTGCAGTGATTTTTGTCTCGGAAATTCTATGGCCATTCCTTACTGCTTTATTATGTGTTATTGCTTTCATGTTTGTGAGAAGTTTCGATCCTACAGCGCCAAACTCACCTAATAAAGGAAAGAGTGCTCTAATTCGGGTCGGTGTTATCGCATTCGGACCAATCTTATTGAATGCTGCAATGTTAGCAGGTCTTTTCTTGATTTCCGTGTGTGTGGGTACAGTTTTATCCGGTTTTGAAAAATTCGGGTCTTATACCGCGGCAATTGCACACACATGGGCCATTATCACTTTAATAGGATCCTTTGAAACTTTCTGGTATATCGAATCATGGAATCTTAGTCATGCCGTTTTGGGTATGATAGCTGTCTCTGCTATCCAAAGATTCATATACAAAGTTCTGATCACGATCTTCCTATCACGAGAATTCAAACACGACGAAACAAATCTTGCATGGTGGACTGGAAGATGGTCTGGTCGCACTCTTGGAAACTCTTCAATAATACAACCGTTCCGTGAGTTAATATGCAAAATAGTAGAAATGGGATTATTCGCCACCGACTTCGTTCTTGGGCACGTCCTATTATTCATGCTGGCACCATTTATACTGATCCCCGGTATGGACAAAATCCACTCGACCATGCTGTTTTGGCTTCGTCCGAGCAAACAAATTCGTGCACCGATATTTTCAATAAGAGAACGAGCGCGGCGACGACGTATCGTGTGGATCTATGGCCTGATATTCCTGTTTATGGTTGGCTTATTTGCTGGGTTGATTGCTGGTCCGATAATTTATGGGTCCAAGGTTAAGAGAATCAATCTCCCAATGTGATGACACGCAAAGTACAAACAATTTTTTACCTTTTTTAATATTTTTTTTGTCTTTAATAAGAATAATGGCTTTTTCTACATTAATTAGTGCAAAACATTAAAAGCACTAACAAAACTCTGAAATTATCCCCTCTTAATGTTACATACCTCGTATAAAATACTTGTATTTTTTTGAATTTTGATTATTTACATATTTAATGTTTGTTAGTATCAACTAAATGTAGGAATGTGTACAACAAAAAACTAATAAAAAGCATACAATGTGTAATTTTTTACTTTGAAATTTGCTAAATTTCAATGTGCTATCTAATCAAATGATGACAGAGATCCATTATTTCTCCATAAATGCACGACATGATCGTAAAAAGAACAACTAGCAATTAGAGACTTGTCTTCTTTCTCATTTGTAACGCCATTATCACCTCTATCACTTTGAGAATAGCAACACCAATCAATACCATAGACTATTGATTGATGTTCCATGAACCTGCAATACGTGGACATTGATATTTGTTTGTTTATGTTGCTTGTGTTAATGTCGTCATTCTTTTTTATTTTCAAGTTATCGTCATTATAGCAATTGTCAATTTTAAGAACACGCGCTCCATTGTACATACATGCAGCCAGTAAAAGATCACTGCGTGTCGGATGCCATTTAAGTCTCCATACACCACCGTCTGTGATGTGTTCTGTTAAGGGACATGACATGTTTCTTGTGTCCCATAAGAGAATATGTTCGTCGTAGCTGTATTGGATCGATAAAGTGAAAAAAGTAAACAAAGAGATTTATGTAAGCATGCACTTTGAGTTAGTTGCTTGCCTTCCAGTAGCTAGTTGATATTCGTGGTGTGGGTTCGATTGAATGCTACATACTCCCGCCGAATGCCTTCATTTTATGATTAAAAACTGGACGTAAGGAATAAGATTTCTTTAAAAAGCATGTGATTGTTATCTTGTTACCTTGAGCTGTTAAACAACGGCGAAAAAGATTTCATTCGCAAGTCCCATCCTTTTAATCGACAATCATCGCCACCTATTTTAAAATTTGACGAAATCAGATGATGAAGATAATCCTAATGTCTTAGATATCTTTTAAGAAATGATCCCATACCAGTATAAACCAAATTCGTGCTCCAGTAATTAAATGCCCCTATCCACGCCTCGAAATCGTGTGCTTTCCATTGTCGAGTTTTTGTTATCATTTCTCTTTGAGCGTCAACGGAAAGTATTGAGGCGCATCCATCGTTTTGGGTTACTATGATATTGATAGGTGCGCTTTTTTATGAAATATTTGTTTAATGATGTGGGTGATAGTTAATCATCTTCTTTTAGTTAGTACGAGGAAGCCGTTGTACTTTGCTTTACCTGGATGGTAACCGATTTGACCAGTCAAGTGAAAGACACAATGTTTCACCTCCACCTTCACCATTATTATCTTTTTGGTTATAATTAGTGGCAAAATCTAATCGATTCTGGGTTAAAACTTATAAAATGATTTCTCAATTATCTCAAAAAATAACCAAACATCGAACACAAAGAAAAAAAATCACATTTTCTTCATTGAATCTAAATAATGAAACTAATCCCGACGCGTCTGCCACCGCTAGAACTCCAGCATCGTGAATTCGTTGATGTGACCTAATTATTATTTTTCTTTTCGATTATCATACATAATATTAAGAGTAACAGACGCGAATGATCACCACACGATTGACACATACCATTTCATATCGAGAATAGCGGACATTTCAATTCTTTGAGCTTCAAGACTAAACTCACATATTTAGAAAAATATTCAGCATAAAAAAACAAAGTCTTGTTTAGTGCATACATCTCAACTTGATCATCATCAGGGTCATCCTTATTATTTTCTTTTTCCTTTACTTCATATAACAATAGTCTTCCCAGGCGTAGATTATTGCTTTCAGATGTAGATGTATCATTATTATTATTTTCATCATCATCACTATCGACGTTTTCTTTATCTGCCGTCATTTTTTCCGAGACCTGTTGTTGTAATTGATATGTCCCACAAGCGAAGTATCCGAATTTCGATGATGATGACGGTGACGACGATGAAAATAATTCAAATGGAAAAAATTCAATTGAATCGGCATTGTATTCCGTGTCGATAGCGTAAATTGACGAGACTTTTGTTTCGTCTGCTTATTTTATTATGATCATTATTACTTATTTTACTTGTTAGAAAATGATGATGATAATTTCTTTATTTAGAAATAAAACGAATATTTACATGAATCCGTCATGCTTTGATTCAATTAATTATTGGTACGGAGAATATTTTTATCCAGGATAAGTCGGTGAAAGAAAATCAAATTTATTTTATCAATCAACAATAGCTAATAATTTTCATATGACACGCAATCTATATATCTTTGTCGATATCGTGCTACAATGCCTGAATTTTGTTTCCCGAGTGGTTTAATGTCAATGTTAATGTGGTAATGCAAGTATAAAAAAAGGTTTGATCCCTCCTATAATTTTTTAAAAATAACCTATATATTTCATGTACATTCTAGTTTTAGCTTTAGCTCTTTATTTATAATACCTACTTAGAATTTGACTTAACATACATAATAATAATACGTATAAAAATTCAACATATAACGGTTGCTTCATCGTCGCGCAAAAACGGCATTTTTGTAGTGAAGTGTAAAAAATCAAAAAAAAACTAGATTGCCCTGTTTCATTTCAAATGTCATTACTTAATGACCCCGAGTAAGTTGTTATGGTTACGAGTTGTGTAAAGAGGGAAAGAGATTTCGTCTTGGCAGTTTTTATGTTATTCATACACACATATGTCCACCTGAGAGAATAGGTACATCATCCACAATCTTCGCATTGGCTACCTGCGACGGTTGGACGACCCATACGCCGCACGTATAATAACATTCTCCTCGACTGTACTCTCGTCAAACGACTACATAAAGACGGCGGCTTCGTCGTATCCAGAGATACATGAATGTTATTCGCCGAATATGAAGATGTTGGGTAGCACGGGTGCTGCAAGTGATTATTTTGATTTGAGAAATATCGGAAGTGGCAATAGCAATGCGGTTTCTCCGTTGTCGACTGGTGGTGGGGGCACGCGTTCAAAAAGTTTGGCGTTCAATAACAATGGGAATGCAAAGTCGAGAAAGTCAGAGACAACGACAAGCACTTCTGGTGGGGGAGGAACTAGCAGTAATAACAGTAAGAATAACAATGGGGTATTTACGGATAATGCTGAAAGTGACGATGCAACGGATTTCGAATTGGAAGATACAAAGTAAGCATTGAGTGTTTGTATTGCTTCTTAATGGCGAACAGAAATGAAGATTTAACTACAAATATTCTCACAATCCTCTTTATTAGTAAACCGCCTATACATTCTTTTGCAAAGGTGAATTTGAAGCGTCAAACGATGAGAACAACACCACCACCCGTATACATAACTTCTCCATCAAAACCCCCCAAATCACGGCCCAATTCGCATTTCATGGACGCGTTCTCTGTATCACCGCCGTCAGCCACATTGAAAACATCACCCGAAAGTCTAGTTAACTTATCATCAACAGAGCAGACACCCATACTCTCACCAAACTCGTCTCCTGAAAGCGAAAAAGATCTGGATGAGAGGCGCGGTTCGGAAGCATCGATGCTGACCGCAGACGAGGGTACAGAGTTACCGCCTGATAGTCCACCTAAACCTCGAATAAAGAATTCAACGACATTACAACGAGAGTTTAAACCGGATCCACCGATAATGATTAAAAAGCCGAAGCCATTCTCGGCATTATCGGCACTGATTCAAGATCAGAAAAGCAGACTACGTAATCCGTTTAGCGAGGATTATAGTTTCTTTGCTGGAAAGGGTGATTTGAAACCGATAAAGCTGAAAATCTATTTACCATTCTCAGCGGAAAAAGATTGTCCACTTGAGCTTATTGTGAAACGTGATGCTACAGTCGAGCAGGTCATCGGGTATACGTTGTATCAGTATTGGGATGAAAAGCGAGAACCTATTCTTGAGGAGAGATTGTGCAATGTCGCACAATGGAATATGAGAATTGTCGAAGATGATGGAGAGATTGATTATGATTTTCCACGTAAGTTATAAATAATATTATTACTTTGCGATGGAACAATTAATTTGTTTATTTATTTTGTTGTCTGATGTCAAAAAATAGCAATGGAAAGAGCACAAAAAATCACTAAATTTCATTTCGACTCATATGGGTTAATCGAAGCTAATCCGGAACAAGGTAATTTAGATTTACAGCATGAAAATTAAATTTTACCCAATAAAAATGAACTAATCCAAAATGACGACGATGATGATAATAATTCAGTCATACAAAATCAACAATTGCAAAAAACACAAGACGCTTTATCATCTGCGGCAAAAATACCTCCAAAAACCAATGGCAATATTCCTCCACCCATATCAACGAAACCTGAAACTTCAACCAAAACAAATGGCATCACATCGCCTGTGGATCTCAGTAATCAAGTATTTCTTCGTGTTCGCCTCACTTCGTCTGGCGATGTTGCCCATACAACAATGATAAATGTGATGGCTGAGCAACGATTATACGATGTACTTGAGAATGTGTGCCGTAAGCGTAAACTGGATAGCAAAGAACACACTTTCAAAAGTATAGACAAGAATAATTTCCTTGATTTGGAGAAAACGGTAGAGAGTTTAGGTGTGAATCCTGAACTTGCACTTGTTAAAAAGTCTAATGAGAGAACTCGGTCCGATTCAACACCTTCGCAAAATGGTAAATTTTTATTACTTTAATTAATGAGGAAATTCATGAGACACCTGTCCATCAGTTTATTCAATGTTTGTGATTTATAGGTTCAAGATCTTCAACAAGGCCTTCACGGCGAACACTAGAAGAGCCGATTTATGTGTCCTCTACCGAGTACATGTCAGTTTATCAAGTAAGCAAATCTGACAGGATTAATAGTTCAAAAAAATTTGAAATTTAAAAATTTATTTTTTTTTATGTTTCAGAAATACACAGTAAACCGCAAAATGCCAATGTTTGTTGGACGACATGAGAGGTCGTTAGCAATCGATGGTGATTACATTCACATAATGCCTTCCGAATCACGGACAATGTTTGATTCAATGAAAACAGTACGTTGTTTGGTTCTATTGTTTTGAATTCATGTAAATCATTATTGATTTTATTCTTGTTAATCGTACGATTATTAGTCTTCGTATCATATCTCAACTGTTTTATCGTGTAAACAAGATAAAAAATTATCAACGAATTTTAAACTGGTGATTTATCGAGAATCAGGGAATAAAACTTATGATTTCGAGGCTGTGGATGCAAGACAAGCAGGTACTAATAAATCTTACGCTATTATTTACTTTTTACTAGCGTGTTCTCAAGATTATTTGTTTATACCCACGATCATACAGGCGAGATATGTAAAAATATAAAGTTTCTCTCTGGTCTACATAAAGGTGAACAAAACAAGTCGCGATGATAAATTTTCATCAAAATTATCATTACGATCATTATCATTATTGTTTTCTCTTCCTAAAAATATTTCTTTATTATCTCATCCTTGTGTATCCTATCCTCCTTTTTTGTTACTGTTCTTTTTTCCTTTGTAACTTATTGAAAACAACCTTCCACATACATATATATACATACATATATACATACATACATATATATACATACATACACATATTCATACATCCCCTCCCCACACACTCCCACGCACACATATTATATCCCTCCTTTGTACAGTTTTTTTTTGGCGTGTACTTGTAAATATAGTAAATAAAGATCTACATAAAACTTCCATCGACTTTCTTAGAGAATTTTAATAAAAAACTATTAATCTAATTGTGTTATAACACCAAATACGCGGAATATTAATATTTAAATAATAGATTCTCTTTTCAAACGAAAAGTTATTTGATTATATTTATCTCTCATAATACTCATTAATTTATTTATTCTGTATTTTTCGAATGGTTTGAATCAATCAACTATAGTTAAGCCCATAATCAACTAATTTGGCACAGACAAAACTTAGCAAAATCAGGAAAAAAATTCCACGGGCACCATTTACATACATTTAAAAAACAAATCACAATTACATTGCCAGTGTAAATCTCTGATACAATGCACATCTCCCAAATCTCTAAAACAAGTTTCTCTGAAGCTCACATGATCACATTATCATCTTGCGTATCATTTCGCTATTAATCTTCCAATCTTTTTTATATATCTTGATTTGACTTCGTTTGGACATATTTTAAACAACTCTTGAAACTCGATATAAAAGATTTTTACAGATTTCAATTAAAAAATTTATAATAAAAATCTTGATTGAATCCCCATTTGTATAAATTTCAACATTAACAACAATATGAATACATGTTCCACCATCAACGTATTAACATTGTCATCTCTAATAATGGAGCCAAAGTATTCGCGTGCGTATCTTCTTGAAATATACAAGAAAACATATACTCTGGAATAAAGAACAGAAATTCTAGGATTCTAGCACTAGAAACATAGCAAGTTACATAGCAAGTTAATAAAATATTAGTGCTTTGGTTATTAAGCAAAGATATACTTTCATAAATGTTAGTAAATTTGATCATTTATATATCTTAAATAAAAAATTGGAATGAAAAAATTATTAATCTTATCTCTTTAATTCAAAATCACTTTTATGAAACTAAAATATTGATATTTTCACAATTATTAATCATTATATATTTAGTAATTATGAATTAATATTAAAAATAAAGTATAAAAAGTTATATCTGAAAAAAAATAACAAAAATACAGACTTGATTTTTGCAAAAAAACTAAATTAAAAAGGACTAGACAAGAAGATCAGATAAGTTTAAGAAAAAAAAAATAATTAATCTTGTATATTAAACTTATAAAAAAATATAAGATTAATAATTTTTTCATTCCATTTTTGTAGTGAAGTGTAAAAAATCAAAAAAAAACTAGATTGCCCTGTTTCATTTCAAATGTCATTACTTAATGA